ATATATTAGTATGGAATACCTCGTTGTAATAAGGACAATTAGTAGATTCCTTTACGCTGGTGTATTTTCTTTGATCCCCAACTTGAACGCAAACAACAGGATCCATATTAAGCCCTGCTAATTGTCTCGCTTCTATGATAGTCACGCATACTTGATAATCTTGTGCCTTCAATGCACCTTGAGCTGCTGTATCATTTGCCTGTAATACACAATCTTATTTACAATTATTTCATTAATTCTAATAAAAATATATCTACAAAAAAGAAAACAAAAAAAAAAACTAAAAATAATAAATTATTGAGTTGGCAATTAAATCATTGAGAATTTTGTTTTATTGAATTAGGTATTCAATTTTTTTGATAGCAAAGATCATTTGTGTCTGCTGTATAATTTGTCTGTAATTCACAATTTAATTTACAATTTTTTCATAAATTCTAATAAAAATATATCTACAGAAAAAAAAAACAAAAATCAAAATAATAAAATATTGAGTTGGCAATTAAATCATTGACGATTTTGTTTTACACCTTAATTCAATTTTTTTGATAGCAAAGATCAGAAATTTTATGAACGTCACATTATGACACTGCCTGATCGATGGTAAAAAATCATCAATAAAAATTGACAATACCTAATTGAAACAACTTATATTTTTAAATAAACATTTGAAATTTTCATTTTTATTTAAAATCTGCAATCACTTAGTTGAAAACCCATGAAAAATCTAAGGTGGTTTTATTTGATAGATTTTCTTAAAGTTTCCAATAATAATACTTACTACCATCCTTATATTTTTCCCATCTAACATCCCTTAGGGAAATACTATTATAAATACACTTGAGAAATATTAACCCTTGAAAAAGATTTTACTCCCTCAGGTAAAACAAGTCTGATTTTATCAAAATACAAATATTATAAAAAATTTCTAAAAATCTCTTGCACAATTCTGCAAGTGAATCAAAATTTCTAAAAATATGTCGCAATGTTTTTACTAAATTTTAATTCACTTGCACAGTATTGCAAGTGAATCAAAATTTATAAAAATCTCTCCTCATGAATTTACTCAATTTACTCAATTTTTATTCACTTGCACAATTCTGCAAGTGAATCACAATTTCTAAAAATCTACCGCAGTGCCTTCACTCAATTTTAATTCACTTGCACAATTCTGCAAGTGAACCAAAATTTCTAAAAATCTGTTGCAGTTGTCTTTACTCAATTTTAATTCACTTGCACAGTACTGCAAGTGAATCAAAATTTCTAAAAATCTCTCCTCATAACTTAACTCAATTTACTCAATTTTAATTCACTTGCACAGTGCTGCAAGTGAATCACAATTTCTAAAAATCTGTCGCAGTTGTCTTAACTCAATTTTAATTCACTTGCACAGTACTGCAAGTGCATTATAAAATAATACTATGCATTATAAAAGGAAGTAAAAAAAAAAAAACTTTTTCATTAAAATCAGAAAGAAACAAGACTATAATAAATCTAATTGTAATAATAAAATGCTATTTAATTATAATCGGCTTATTATTTACAATAATATTATATATTGTAAATGTAAAACACTATAAAAAAAAAACCCTGACCTAAACCTGACGTAAACCTGATGTAAACCTGTAATAAAAATTTCTCTAAAACAATAAAAATAATAAAAGCATACCTTAGGTTTAGGTTTTTTAACTGATTTTGTAACAATTGGTTCTTCATGCTCAATATTATTAATACTCGTTTGGCTCTCGTTGTCAGACGTATTGCTTTCAAGTGAAGTAAAAGAATTTGTCCTGGAAGGTTCGTTAGATGTCGGACAACTCGAATCTCTTCTATCGATAAGTTCCTTTGTTTCAGAATTACTGTCACAAGATCTAGCTCTTGGTGGTCTCTGTTTTCCTAACTTCATGAAAGATTTCATGCTTTTCAACGTTGAGCTTCTGCAAACATAATATCTTTATCAGTTTATCAATGTTTTTTTCTTTTTTCTTTTTTATCAAGTTATTTTACAGTACATATACTGTTTCTAATAAAAAGTTAAAAGCGCTTATAAAAGCAAAGCTTCAAAAAAAAAAGGCTTTTTTTGTTTTTATTAACAGCTCGTTATAAAATCTTGCAGAAAAATATTCAAAAAAAAAAAAATATCAAATATTTTATATTATTGAATATAATTTGATTTTCATTTGTGTGTGATTTAATTCATATTAAATATTTTTATATTATTCATTAATATAATTTTATATTAAATTTATAAAACCTTGCATGAAAATTATTTAAAAAAAAAAAAAAAAATTATTTTAATTATTAAATATAATTTATTTTTATTTGATTTAATTCATATACATTAAATATTATTATTATTATTATTTTATATTAAATTATAATTTTTTTTTTTAATACATTAATATTCATTTTTATTTAATATATATTATTATAATATATTAAATATAATAAATATAATAAAATAATTAATATATTTATTTTTATTTACTATATTTTATTATAATCTTATATTAAATTTTTAAAACCTTGCATAAAAATATTACAAAATAACAAATTTCAATTATTAAATATAATTTATTTTTATTTAATTTAATTAATATCAAATATTATTATATAATTTTATTTAATATATTAATATTAATGTTAATTTTATTTATCAAATATAATTTGTTTTCATTTGATTTAATTAATATTATAAATATTATTATGTAATATTATATTAAATTATAATTTTATTTAATATATTAATTTTAATTTTATCTATCAAATATAATTTGTTTTCATTTAATTTAATTAACATTAAATATTATTATAATTTTCTATTAAATTATAATAATACAAGACGTACATTAATAAATTAATATTAAATATTACATTAATTTTAATAATTTTAATTAAAAAAAAAAAAAATACTTCAGTTAAAAGTATTCAGTACTTAAAAGACTAAGATATATTTATACGTAATTTAGTGATAAATAAATGGAATGAAAATAAAAAAAAAAGAAGAATATTATTAGATTAGGATCAAGAGGATTTTATTAATTATTAATTAACTACGATATCAATTTATTTTTCCCCTCTTTATTTAGATCGTAAACTTTTTTTTTTTCTTTAAATTACTAATGGATCGTTAAAGGGAGAGAATCTTATAGAGCATCGTTAAATTTTATCGAACTACTTTGCCAATGGGGGTAGTTGATGGATAAATCATTATAAATCCCATTAAGAGAAAAAATACAAAAAAATAAAATAAAAGAAAAGAAAAGAAAAGAAAACGTTTTCACGTTTTATTTCAACTAGAATCAAATTACATTTGACTAACATCAAAAATAAATCAAATTGAAATAAAAACAAGATGAGTGAATTAAATTAAAAGAAAAAGTGAACTTTACTTAAAATATAATCAAATTACATTTGACTAACATCAAAAAAGTCA